GGCCCACAAACAAACATGCATATCCAGGGGGGGGGGGGGAACACAACAACGAAACATGCGTATCGCCTGTTTGTCGACCCAGCAAGAATGTTGGTGTTGCAAAGATCATCAATCACACTATCCACATTACAAAGCCTTTTTTCCATTTGCTTTTCCCAATCCACATGGCACAGCAAAGTTACAGGTGGCGTAAAAGAAGATCTGTTTTTTTTTTATCTACGGAGTTTTTAGCATGGAGCAGGGGCATGAAGAGAGACGCTGGGAATTTCCATTCTTGTCTGGCCGTCACAGCACCATCACTCTGCGACTTTCTGGAGCTGTTTTCGCTTGTTCTTGGACTTCATCATCTTCTTAGTTGTCTTCGGATTCGAAATCTTCTGGACAGGGGCGCTTTTGAGTGTGTTCTCCTCCTTTCTTTTCATGAACTCCTCCTTCTTTCGCCGCTTCTCCTGCTTTCTGCTGCGGATATCTTCCTTCAGCGCTGACTTCCGTTCCTGGAACATCTTCTTCACATCCTTTTGGCGCATCTTCTCGTCCCATGACGTCTGCAACGGCTTTGATCTGCCCAATGCTGAGGTCCGCGTAGTCGCTGCCACCTTCCACTTTCGACCAGACACCATGCCGCCTAACGTCTTCGGGTCCGTTCTTGACAAAACCTTCTCGATCTCCGCCTTACCCGCACCCTCATCCATGGGAACTGCAATTCGTTTCGCGGCCTGGAGGTCCTCCTCCAGCTTCTCAAACTCTCTTTTCCTCTTCTGCCTGTGCCCAAGGCCCTCGTCCAGACCCCGAAAGTCGACCATGGACGCCATTTTTGCAGCCTCCTGTACCACCTACCTGGATATGGCCGCTGCTTCCTTCGCTTCCTCCCAGTGCTGCGACCCTTGGCTCCTTCGTGCTGCTGTTCGCAGCTGCACGGGATATGGCCAAACGACGAAATGGGGAGCTGCTTCCTGTTGCAGTGAACACGAGAAAGGAGTACGAGACGACGACGACGGCGACGACGAGACACGGTGGCCGTGAAGGACTGCGTGGCGTCGGGGCACCAAGGTCGACTGCCGGGCTCCCCGCTCTTTTTTTTTTGCGGGGGCATACGCAGCCTCAAAAATTTTTCTTTTTTTTTCCTCTCGAACGCATTTTCCCTTGCAGTTTCGAACTTGTCTTCGCCCAAGCTTGGAGTTTCGAACTTGTCTTCGCCCAAGCTTGGAGTGGACTTATTCCTGCGAATTCGAAACTGTGCAGCGGTCACCCGCGGAGTTATTTCTTGTTTTTTTTTTTTTTAATGAAAAACACTCACAGAGACAGTTAGGGAGTGATGATGAAAGCAGCAAGTGGCCTGTGGCTCAGTGGTTAGAGCACCCCGTTGTTAATGAGTATCACGGTCTGAGGCTGTGGGTTCAACACTCCGCACCTCGGCGCAGAGACACCGGCAAGCATTTACATAACGCACTCCCTTGGGCTGAAGCAGGTAAGCTATTACAGACACTGCCTGTGCACCACCCAAGGGATCGTCCATGGTGTTATAAGTTGGGTGTAGACTCTAGACTTTGATTGGTTTGCTTGCTGTTCTTGGTCCATGGCTGTTCTGATAGTTGTGCAGTTATTTCCCTGTCTCGTTCAGCGCATCGAACTAAGCGATATACAGCGTGTTGTTGTCCATCCTCCTTGTCCATGGTCATGGCCCGGTAGCGTGGTCTAACCGAACGGGCTCCAGGCATTCTCCTTGGGTTCAGTTGTGGCTGCCATCGCACTTACCTTAGTACCGGCTTGTCGGGGTGCTGGAAAAAGCTCCAGGTATTAGCTCTGGATTCGGTTGAGGCTGGCATAGCAGTTACCTTAGTACTGACTTTGTCAGGATACTGGAACGAGCTCTAGGTGCTGGATTTGGGGTGTCCAGTCGTGGTTGATATAGCAGTTACCTTAGTACAGACTTATCGGGGTATCGGAACAGGTGCTGTTCCAAGGGGTTCTAGTAGTGTGGCTGACATACCTGTCAGGAACAGGTACTGTTCCAAGGGGTTCTAGTAGTGTGGCTGGCATACCTGTCACCTTAGTACAGACTTATCGAGGTACTGTAACAGGCTCCAGGTACTGGTCCAGGGTCCAAAGAAATGTGGCTGGCGTAGCTGTCACCCTAGTACCGGCTAAGATTCTAAAAGGGAATGGAGGATCTTCAGCTCTCTGTCTCATACTAAACTTGCCTAGTAACTAGGATGTCACTTGGTATATCAACTCATCTATAAACTAGGACATCAACTACCTATCAACAAGGGGTATCGATCCCCCTATTGACTAGGCTATCAATTAGGCAATCTACTAGGCTATCAACCATGATCTTAAATCACCGGAACTTGGGCCATACATCAGCCGCGGGCCAGACACCTACCATTCTGGAGGCGCGAAACGAAACGGCAACCGCCGATCTAATTTATCAACGGCGGGGGTGGCATTTGACGTTTCGGCCTCATTTTCTTGTGGCGACAAGTTTCGGACTGCAAGGCTGCGGCCATGTACTGGTGGTTTAACGCGACGAGGGTCGCCCGAGTGAATGCCCCGTCTGTCCTTGTGAAGCGGGCTCAGCGGTTTCCGGCACGACACACATGAATCTAGGGGGGGGGGAAAGAAAGTAAAGAAAAACAAATAAGAAAACATTAAAAAACAAAGAAAAACAAGGTAACCGTTCTCTGAGAAGGCGCATGCGCGGGCATGAGAGAGAGAGAGAGAGAGAGAGAGAGAGAGAGAGAGAGAGAGAGAGAGAGAGAGAGAGAGAGAGAGAGAGAGAGAGAGAGAGAG